AAAGTGATAAATAAAATAAATAAAATTATGATGGATAAAAAGATAAAGAAAAATCTGATACTGACTCCCGAAGCGACAACCGTGGCCATGATAGAAAGGTAGGGACCAACTTTTGCCAGCAAGGGTTTTGGATCAAGAATTTTGTAACCTTCGTGACCCGTGCAATGTGCTTCCCGGTTATCGGATTCTAGACCTTCACAAAGAAGATGCAAAACGAACGTATTCTTCCCCCATGTGTGGGGTTTAAATATAGTATATGATTCTTGACCTGGTATTAAGATATATAAGCGTGGTATCGAGGCATCCATCGTATCTGTTATGCTATTCATCACTGCGTCGATCTGTGAAAGGATGAGGTTGGTCGTTTCTTGGAGGGTTGAGAGAACGGTTTTGGTATTCTGATTTACCGCGGTGATGAAAGATGGACGATGGCGATGGGTATGCGAAAGTTGCTATAAACGCGCGAATGTCGAAAACCCCTATATCTGATGGGGCAAAAGTAAAGATACCGATCTGAATCTCTGATGGACTACTTAAGAGATCAAAAAACCATTAATTCTAAATGTTTAATATTACTTATCACCAAAAGTTCTTACGATAAAAATGTCAAGATGGACGGTTTGCGTGTATGCGCGTATAGCGTCACGCGATTTGTTCGAAAAATTTCCCGTACGACTTAATCCGTACCAATTTCAGTAATAGTTGTACTGTACATTCGAGTTTCTTCAGGCGCAAGCAAGTTGAGAATACATATAATCAAATAAAATAGAACTTGCCTATAAATAAAATAAAATCAAATAATAGTAAGTGCCATAAGAGATTCCCTCGTGGAAATGCCTAATCACCCGGTGATGCCTGATGACGTGCAGTATCTTCACGGTAACGTTTATAAGGTTCGAAAATCACAATTCATGTCACTGTAAGGCAATGTGGGATCGGTCGAAAGATAGGACATAATGCATGCGCTCTGCAATTAGCTAATCCCGCCATGCTACACAGCTACCACTCCGGCATATTCCTCGGGGTACTTTGCATGCATGAAGAGTTTTAGGTGTCATTGAGGATTTTGCATGTTTCGTAAAGGATTTGATGATGGACGAGACTCCGTGTGAATAGGACCGGTGGAGGTGACCTTTACCTTCAATGAATTCAAAAAGATGAGCAAAAAAGAATGAATGCGAGAGAAATAAATTTGTGCAATTTGAAATTTCAAGTCACCACACCAATATTGCTTCTGACCTTGAAGTGTGATCCCGAATCATCTCATCTTTCTTGGGGTCATAAACCTTTGCGGTGGTAGCAGTGCGACTTTTCCGACAAAAGATCTTTGATCCGAGAAGTCTGAGAAGTTCGACAAACATCCGCGAAGAGTTCTACAGTCGAATAGTTCAATTCTAGAAGCACCATGTGAAAATTCCAGTATAGATGGATGTGGAGACAGGGACCTCGTTTGATACGTTTTCTTGCAAATAATAAACAGCCTTAATAATTTTTTTCACATATTTTCAAATTTATTTTTGTTGATGCGTTTAAGTTTACAAATATTTCTTTTTTACATTTGGTAAACATGAATTGATTTTTAATTCGTTGGTGGTAGGAATAACGGGAAAAATTCCCTTAATCGGCAACAATAGCATTCTGTGCACAAATGCAATTAAAAAAAGAAGTTCATAGATGTCGATAAAAAGATGGATTAAATCACCCTATTGCATCATAGCT